GAAATTAAAGGGACACAAATAGGAAAAGAAGAACTCAAATGAGCTCTCTGCTGACAGACCTGATCCTATATTTAGAAGACCCTAAAAACTCCAATAGAAGACTTCTAGAGCTGATAAATGAATGCAGCAAAGTGGCAGGATACAAGATCAACACTCATAAATCAATTGTATTCCTATACTCCAATAATGAATCTGCTGAAAAAAGAATTAGAAAACTATCCCATTCATAACAACCTCAAAAAAGAAAATAAAATACATGGAAATCAATCTAAAAATAGAATTGAAGGATCTCTACAATAAAAACTATAGAACACTAAAGAAAAATTGAAGATGACCTTGGAAGATAGAAAGACCTCCCATATTGCTGGATAGGCACAATTAATATTGTCAAGATGGCCATACCACCAAAAGTGCTATACAGATTCAACACAATCCCCATCCAAACACCAATGATATTCTTCACAGAACTAGAAAAAGTAACGCTACATTCATGTGGGAAAATAAGAGATCCAGAATAGCCTAAGCAATTCTTAGCAAGAAGAATGAAGCTGGAGGCATCACAATGCTGTGCCTCAAAGTGTACTACAGAACTAGAGTAACAAAGCGCATCCTACCGGCCCCCAAACAGATACGAAGACCAATGGAATATAATAGAAGTCACTGAGACAAGCCACATAGATACACTTATCTTATACTAGACAAAGGTGACAAAAACATACATTGGAATAAGATAGACTTTTGAACAAATGGTGCTGAGAAAACTGGAAATCCATAACAGAGGAATGAAATATGATCCCTATCTGCACAAAAAAAAATCAACTCCAAGTGGATCAAAGACCTGAGAATAAGACCAGAAACTCTCCAAGTGCTAGAAGAAAATGCAGAGCCAACCCTCCAGCATGTCAACACAGGAACCAACTTCCTTAACACGACGTCTAAAGCACAAGAAATAAAATTAAAAATAAATAAATAAATGGGATGGCATCAAATCAAAAAGCTTCTTCACAGCAAAGGAAACAAAGGCATGAAGAGAGCCTATAGAAGGGCAGAAGACCTTTCTCACCTGCTCCTCAGTTAGGGCATTGATATTCAGATATACAAAGAACTCAAAAAACTTAACACCAAAAAAATAATAATAACCTAATCAATAAACGGGAAAAAGAACTAAACAGACCCTCCTCAATACAGCCAGGCATGGTGACACATGCTTGTAATCCCAGTGGCTCAGGAGGCTGAGGCAGGAGGATCATGAGTTCAAAGCCAGCCTCAGCAAAAGGGAGGCGCTAATCAACTCAGTGAGACCCTGTCTCTACATAAATAGGAGTAGGGATGTGACTCAGTGGTCAAGTGCCCCCGAGATCAACCCTCAGTACCAAAAAAAATATATATATAAATGGTTAAATATTTTAAAAAATGTTCAACATCTCTAGCAATTAGAGAAATGCAAATCAAAACGACATTGAGATTTCATTTCACTCCAGTCAGAATGGCAATTATCAAGAGTATAAATAATGATAAGCATTCATGAGGACGTGGGGGAAAAGGTACACTCATACACTGTTGGTGAGACTGCAAATTATGACAACCACTCTGAAAAGCAGTATGGAGATTCCTCAAAAATCTAGGGAGGGGCTGAGGTTGTAGCTCAGTGGTAGACTGCTCGACTTACATGTGGAAGGCACCTGGTTCAATCCCCAGCACCACATAAAAAATTTAAAAAAGGTATTGTGTCCATCTACAACTAAAAAAAAAACAAAAAACTAGGAATGGAACCACCATATAACCCCCTGTCCCAGTAAATATCCAAAGGACTTAAAATCAGCATAGTATAGTGATGAAGGCACATCAATGTTTATAGCAGCACAATTCACAAGAGCCAAAGCATGGAAACAACCTAGGTGCCCTTCAACAGATGAATGGATAAAGAAAATGTGGTGTGTGTATACAATGGAGTATTACTCAGCCATAAATAAGAATGACATTACGGCATTTGCCAGTAAATGGATGAATCTGGAGATTATCATGTTAAGTGAAATAAGCCAGTCCCACAAAACCGAAGGATGAATGTTTTCTCTGATATGTGGAAACCAATCCAAAATAAAGTGGAGGGGGAAGGGGAAAAGAAAGAAAAAAATGTGACAGGGAATTTCATCAAAATAGAGGAAAGACCATTAGAGTAGATGAAGGAGATTGAAGAGGAGGAAGGAAGGACAGGAAAAGAAAAGAATGGTGGAATGATCTCACTGAACTTTCAAATGTACACACAGGAATATAGCACAGAGAATCCCAGTATCAAGGATATCCACCAGAGACTAATGTAAAAACAAAACACTACAAATAAATTGTAGAAAGATCAGCAGAGGAGACGGAGAGGAGCAGGAGGAGGAAGGAAGTGCTGGGGACTGAATTAGACCAAATCGTATCCCACGCTTTTGTGATTAGGTCAAAATGTAGCCTAATGATTTATATAACAAAAAAAAACACAATAAAAGTGTTTAAAAAATATGCATTGTAGATTTTTAACAGTAAAGACCGGAAATAACATAAATGTCTATTAAGAAAGACTAGCTAGCTAATTTGAGTCTACATTGCATATGTGGTTTTAAAAAAACTACAGATCTTGAGAAAATTTTACATATGGACCACAACAAAATAGTGAAAAAGTTGTAGAAAAGGACATAAACTAGGTCTTATCACAAACTTTTAATTATCTACATACACATGCACACAGTTTAAAACACAATTTATGTGAGTGTGTGCTAGGGCTTAACCCAGGGCTTCACACATGTTAAGTATATGCTCTACCACTGACATTCATATAAGTTTTTAGGTTAATAATCTCTGGTAAATAGAACTGATTCTTTATTTTAGAAACCATTCTATTTTATTTGGGGAAAAAACGAACACATACAGCATTCAAAGTAAAAAATACCCACATATTTTAACTTATTGCCCCAAAAATAGTTACTTACAAAACAATTTATAATACGAATTCACTTTGAAATGAGTAACAATGGTTATTTCCAGAACAGAATACAGAAAAAATTCACACTGTAGTTCACAAAACAAAAAAGTTCTTTTAAGAATACCACCTTTCTCTAAAATAGTGATCAACCCCCAAAACTATATTTGTCCACAATATCTTTCCTGGCAACTTTTCAAAACTCTGGAGAATCAGCTTTATTGTTGGATTGCCCAGTATATTAGATACAAGTAAGTTACAGATAAAACAATGCCAACAAATTCACAGAATTTATGAATACAACTTTTCTGCTAGATAAGTTTTAAATGTCTCCTTGATGAAAGGAATTCCTCTAATGAAGTTAACCTCAGATATTTTTTACTTTGAATGCTGTATGTGTTCATTTTTTTCCCCAAAGCATGACCAGGCTTGACACTGGTCCCCTCACAGTAAGTGTTCTGTTTTAAAATATCTTCTACATATCTACAGTCAACATCAATATGCCTGGGGCCTTTGTTTCAAGGCCAAAGCTAGAGGTAACACAGGAATCTACATCATTTCACAAGCAAGAACAGGAAGAAAACTCTGAAAACAGCCCAAGGAAGCACTGGGTTCTGTCTCCATGAATCTGAACTTGACACTGGGTTATCTTGGACCCCTACAGGCCTAGCTCTAAATGTGGAGCTTACAAATGTTCTGACTTAAGGGGTCAAGGCCTTCTCTAAGCCTCTGATTAAAAAAGAAGCAGAGCTCTCTGTCCTCATGTTACTCCAAATGTTTTCCATCTCAGCCCTGACCTGAGATTCAACCGCCTTTGTTTTCCCTCTAGACCTGCTGCTGCATGTAACAGCTTATAGCTACAGAAGGGAAGTGCTTAACATGTACCTACTCTTTGGACAATAACCCTATGATGCATTTCTATGTGACAGATGAAGAAACTGAGCTATGAGGTACAGGACTACTTAGTGGCCAACTAGTATTTAACGTGGAGATTCTCATTCCTGAATATAATCTTCCCTGTGCAGCACTCACCATCTCTATGATGTATTTCTTCTAACCCAGAAGACATTAGCAAGCTTCAGACAATAGTGCTCTGAGCTTTTAGTATCAATCTCAAGGCCAACAGGCCACCTGCATAAAATGTTTATTTTTGGTACTGCCATTGGTTCTTGCCACTATTGGATAACTGACACTATGGAATCTAATCCACAAACGTTATTTGTTGATGCCTTTCTTAACTTTTCAAAAGCTGTTATAGCAATAATTAGACACCCCACCTCTTAACCAAGCAAAAAGACACTGGTTCAGATTCTCATTCTATCACTTAGTGTTTTCCTTCATCAGCAAAGTAAGATATAAAGGTAGAGTCAGGTGTCAAGTAATGTAATATTAAAAGACCATGTTGTTTATGAAACTGAAAAACTAGAAGTTCTGGGTATCTTGGACCCAGATGGAAACAATAAAAACTAACTGGCAAAAAAATATACATCTAACCTTTCGAAATTATCACAAAGAAATCAATCACTACACATGAGAATGAATGCTACCAATAAAATTCATTCATTCCATCCTCACTTCCACTGAAGTGCAATATTAACAGATTAATAAATGATTATGTAAGAAATGTCTTAATCTGTTGCTGGGTAAGCTCCAGCACCTTCCCAGTGAATTAGAAATGCACCGTGGACAGTGACAATGACTTTCCCTCGTGCATGTTCTGCTCTGCTGCAGATGTGATCCCGCTGCTGTAAGAGGTCTATCAGTTAACTAACTGTACAGGTGCACTCACTGGGCTACAGGTAGAGGACACACAAACTATCAAGTCATTCAGTCTTCATAAGGACTCATATGTATGCTCCTTTTTCAGATAAGGAAACTGAGGCCCAAGGGAGGATGAGAAAACTGAGGCCCTGGGATGCAGTGCGAGGAATCGGGCAGCATGAGGCTGCAACCGCTCAGGGTGGCATGGAGTCCCTTTAACCTCTCTCCGGGAGGGGCACGGGAGCGCCGTGTAAGGGCGCGAGAAGCAGTACAGTACCAGCGGGAAGCAGGGGCTCCAGCGGGGTAAAGGCATGCTCCATAGCGGAATACTGGCCTCTGCATTAAAACACAAAAGCGCAGGTTAGAATCTCCCAGGCTGCTAGGGGAGCGCAGCGCCACCGCCCACCCCGCTCGCTGCCGTCTGACCCGCGCAGTGCTGGGGCTGCGCATCGCGGGAGCGCGCGGGCAGGGCGGGAACAGGGCAGGGGTGGGGGAGACGGCAAAGCGGGTACGCTCCGTGCTCTTCGGGGACCGCCCCTCCGGCCTCCATCCGGGAACCCGGCATCACCCGCCGGCCGCCCCCTCCCCACTGCTCCCCCTCCTCCCGCGGCAGCCTCACCTACACAATGGCGGGAGGAGCCCAAGCCTCGGAGCGCTGCTCCTATCGACCGCTCGGCGCGCGGCTGAGGCGCCTGGCGTGCAGCCTCCTTCCGGGAGCGCCGAGCCTCCCGCGCGGCTTCGCCTTCGCGGCTCCGCACTAGACCCGCTCCGTGCTTCTGCGCAGCCCTCTACGCCCCACCTCGGCACAGAGGCCGTCCCTGCTGGACGCGAAGCAAGGTATTCCTCGCTCACCAGCAAAGCAGCTTCCCCGCCTCCTCCGCGGCCGCGCTCGCTTTGATCTCACGCGGCCGCCAGCGCCTGCCCTCCGGCCCCGCGCCACCCTTTCCTCCCCGCCCCCGGCGCGTCCTGGAAGAAACCACCTGCCGCGCGCCGCTCCGTCTCCCCAGAAGAAAGGGCCCCGGCCGTGCAGCCCTTTCCAGCGCCGGGCGAGACTCACCTCCGACGAGCCCGCACCGCCACCCCTCCCGGCGGCGGAGGCCCGGCCTGCACCGGAGGCGGCTGGGCCTGGGCAGCAACGGCGGAAGCGCGCGGGTCTTACAGGTGCAGGGCGTCTCCGCGAGAGTGAAGACCCAAAGAAGGGACCCCAAACCCAACTTTTATACACTAGTATTATCTCCTAAAGTTTTCAGAAGGGCACGTTTAAAGGTGCCAGTCGTGTAGAGATGCGCACGTGTAACACAATTGGGTGCCGTAGCTGCAACACCTGCGAGAACCACAAATCATCAGGGCACGGAAAAGCGTGAGATGATGACCCAGACTGTAGGCAGGCAATTATAGAAGATATTCATATGGAAAAAACACAGATAAGGAACCTTAAAGAATAGAGTAAATTTATCTGCCACATTGCAAATGATTCCTTAACAACAAAAATTTAAGTTTATAGAGCAACTACTATGTTCCAGTTACCCTTGAGGGGTTTTATGCTTAATTATTCTAAAATGTAGGCGCGAAGAAAACAAGGACCAAATTTTTTTTACCCTTAAATATTCACACTGTAACAGCTGGTGGTATAGAGCAAGGAATCAATGAATATTGAATCTTCATATTGAAATCGTTTACGATAATATGGGATGCTACTTCTCTGTTTTTTCTTAAAACAGTCTATTCATCAAGCCTCAGCACAAACCAGCACCCCCCCCCCCATCTCATCTTGGATTGATTGGCCACATAGCTATAATCACAATCCGAGTTATCTTACTTCACTTAGCACTCCTGTTGGATTGCTAGCTTCCTAAGGGCAGGACCCCTTTCTGGTTTTGTTCACGCTATTCCTCCAACTAATCAATGCGCTTCTTCCAAAATACAGGTTCATTAAATAATTATGATCTCCACTAATACGTGGTGGGAGGAAACGTAAAATTATGGCATATTATACAAGGAATTATTGAAAAAAAATAAAATCATATGCCCTCGTGGAAAAATGTCAACAACAGAATAAATTGTATAAGTGTAGGCAGAAGAATCTCACTTGTATTTTTAAATGTTTTAATATCCTAAGGAATTAATTGTTAAAGGTAACCTCTAAGCAGAAGGGATGGAGTAGGTAGAAGGCAATATGTTGAGGGAAATATCACTTGCTATCTCATACTTATTAGTACATATTTTAAATGTATTTTTTGTTTCACAAGAATTACACATTTATGGGGTATTACAGTGTGACGATTCATGTATACAACGTGTAGTGCTCAGGTCAGGGTAACTGGTATGTCTGTCACTTCAGGCATAACATTTCTTTGTATTTGGAAGATGCAGTCCTCCCTACCAACTCCTTTGAGATATTCAATTAGTATTATCAACCATAGTTATCCTACACTGTAACAGAATTAGAAGTTATACCTCCATCTGCACCTCAGAACCCACACCTGCTTCTCTGCATTCCTCCCTCCCCCCAAACCTTTCCCAGGTTCTGCTAATCACTGTTCTATCCTCTACTTCTTAAGAGTTCAACTTTTTGAATTTTCACATAAGAACATGGTATTTGTCTTCCATGCCTGACTTATTTTACTCAACAGTGCCTCATTCCATCCATGTTGCTGCAATGACAGAATTTTTTTTATTATTATTTCTATATCTGATAATGGTGCACTGAGTATAGAGAACACATTTTCTTTATCCATTCACTCATCCATAGACACTAGATTGATTCCGTAGCTTGGCTGTTGTAAATGTGAAAGTGCAGATGTCTCTTCAACATTTATCCCCAACAGTGGCATTACTGGATCACATGCTCATTCTATTGTTAGTTTTCTGAGGCACCTCCATCCTGTTTTCCATAAGGATCACACTAATTTACATTCCTACCAACAGTGTATGAGGGTTCTCCTTTCTCCACTTCCTGGCCAAGATTTGTCTTTTATTTATTTCTTTTATATCTTTTTGATATTATTTTGAAGATTAGGGATGTTGAGCATTTTCTCCTATACGTGTTGGCCATTGGTATATCCTCTTTCCAGCAGTATCTGTTCAGGTCGTACACCATTATTAAATTGGATTGTTTGGTATTTGCTGTTGAGTTGTTTAAGTTCCTTATATATTCCTTGTATATTATTGGATGAATAGTTTGCACATAATTTTCTCCCATTCTGTAGATTGTCTTTTCTGATAATTGTTTCCTTTGCTGCACAGAAGTTTTTTACTTTAATGTAATTTCATTTGTCTAATTTTACTTGTTGCCTAGGCTTTAGGGTTCATATTAAAAAAAATCTTAACTAGACCCTTATTATTTGCTTCTAGTCATTTAATAATTTCAGGTCATACATTTAAGTCTGATCCATTTCAAGTTGATTTTTATATACAGTACGAGTTAGGGTCTAGTTTCTTTCCTCTGTGGATAAATATTCAATTTTCCCAGAACCATTTATAAAAGAGATTGTCCTTGGATGTTCTTGCTGCCTTTAATAAAAATCAGTTGGCTGAAAATACAAGGAATTGAATTCATCCCATTGGTCTGTGTGTCTGTTTTTATCTGCTGTTTTAGTTACTATCACTTTGTAGTATGTTTTGAAGTCAGAGATTCTAATGACACAGCTTTGTTCGTTTCTCTCAGATTGCTTGGACAGGTCTTTTGTGGTTCCATATAACTTTTTTTCTATTTCTGTGAAAATTTCCATTGGTATTTTGACAGGAATTGCATTTAGAATATAGATCACTTTGGGTACTGTGGACAATTCTTCCAACCATGAGTATGGGATGCTCCATCCATTCTCTTTGCCTCAAAACACATACCTATTGTGATCTCACAGTCAAAGCCAAGCAGCATTTTCAGCCACCTTTAGTGTATTTCCACTTGCATATTTCCCTACTGCCTCTGAATCAAGGGACTAAAACCGAAATCACTCATTTCTTCTCTTCCCAATGTCTTCACTTCTCTCCTTAGCCTCCTTGTTCCTTTGTACTCCTTGATATTTTTAATTTGCCTTTTTTTTTTTTTTTACTCATTCACAAACTCAGTTTCTGCTTCTTATTCTGTTTGTCACTCCAACCTTGAGCTCAAATATTGCCTCTTCAAAGAAACCTTCCTTGATTTTCCTATCTAAGCTAGCTTCCTTAGTTACTCTCCATCTTAGCATTCTGGTTTTCTTCTTCATACTCTTTATCTTGGAGAACTTGTTTATTGACTGTCCTCTCTATAACAAATAAGGGATTTTGCCTGATCTCTTCATTGCTGTCTTCTTAGTGCCAAACACTCTGCATATGGTGCAGAGTAATATTTTCTCTATATATATTTTTATAAAGGATTATGTGCGAGTGTGTGTGATTTATTAACCATTCAAACATCTATAGCGTAAACATAATAGAAATGGGCTAAATAATAATTTACCCTATGGATAGTACAAGGTTCACAAAAGAGTTTAGTAACACTTGGCAATCACCACTCGAAATCCCATCCACCTGTTCCTTACCAGCTTGAAGTCTGTTGCAGTAAAAAGCAACAGTGTTTTAGGAGTCAGCAACCTGGCTCTGTAGTATGAAGGAAAACAAACTCGTGCCTTATTTAAATAAGTCTCATATTTGTGAAAGAGCAATAAGCTTCCAACTTGCTTAATCCACTCTTGTTTAGTTGTTTTGGTCTTTTCGTGGCAGGAGCAGATGGGTCTGTTGTCATATGCCTTCTACTCTTAGTCCTAACTAGTACATCAGCTAATGGCTGATGGCATATTGACCTAGATGCAGTGGATGCAGTAAAGAAGTTCAAAGTGAAAAGATTTGGGAATATTTGAGGGCCAGAATCAACTTTCATTTTGGGCTATCTATTAGGTATGGGTTGTGACAGATTTGACTCCAAATTTTTTACTTCTCTAACAAAGTAAATAGTAATTTACTAGTATGGGAGAAAACAAGACTTGTTAAGATGATAGCAAATGAATTTTAAATCAATATTATAATGTAAATTTGCACCTAAGCCTCACTTGATTTATGGCATTCTGGGTTATGTATTTTTCAATAAATAGATTGCAGAAGTTTGTTGGGCCTACAAAAACATTGAATAAAAAAAATGGTGCTGCTTTTTTGCAAAAACTAGTACAGGTCTAAAATTGGATTGCCAGTGACTCCGGTGTAACTTTACAGATTTCTAGAGCTCCTTTCTGTATGGTTCTGTAGTATTTTGCCCTGCAAGTCCTTGCCACCTTGGCCTCTCCCAATTCTTGTCTTGCTTTAAGTCAGTGAGGCCAACTGTGTGATAACTTGGAAGTGACCTCTAGACAGAATGCATAGATGATCAGGGGCTCATCTAGATGGTTTTCTTTGTCTCACTGATCATGATTCTTCTCTGTATGTTATTTGATATATATTTTTGCTTCTCTATTTGCTTATGCAGGAAGATAGGTTTGGTGTCAGATACTTCTGTATGAGAAATAGTAGAAATTCTTTCCAGTAAGTCTGTTACAGAACTAGGGCTTCCCAAGGATGCAGCCACAGAGATCCTGGGTTACTTTTTTTTTTTTTAAACAATTGTGCTAAAAAGATTTTAGGCATTTTTCTCAGACTAACAGACATGATATATTAGAATAGAAGGAGAAAAGGAGACACTCTCAAGAGAGAAAATGGGTCCTCTCAGAGAGGAGAGAGGACTGTGCCTCTCTTGCTTGTGGGTCCCAGGGAAGTTTCAAGAGAGACCCACCCAGGTCCATCTCTGGGCTTGTGACTGACAGCAAGATGGCATCACACTTACCCCTGCAGAGGGGACATGCATGGATCCAAGGCAACTCTACTGTTCTAAATGGAACCTGTTCTCAGATTTTATTGTTAGGGGG